ACATAGTTAGATGAATTCTCCTTGAAACTAATATATCTATGAATAGCCCACGTGCATAATAAGTAGCAAAACAAGTAAAAAATATTGAAAAGACTGTAACACTCATTCTAAAAAATAGAGTCACTTAAATGACCCCCAAACCTGAAAAGTCATTGTCACTGCTGGGATGGATCTATTGCATTCTCTTTATTCATTGAATCAAGAAAATGTTATCACTATCTTCAAATGCTGTGTAACTGGGTATAGAATTGGATGCTTTCAGGTGAAGCTTTAGAACTCAGAACAATCCCACCAGTGCTATAAACAAGTCCCCAGTGGTGGCCAAACCTAACTGGTGATTATCTACTCCCAGTATTTCCTCCAAGGGAAGGTGAGGTCTTAGTAGAGAAGAGTGCATCCATGCACCTGTTCCCCAAATCCTTAACAAAGGCTTATTAATAGAGACATCTATATATTGCAGATGGTGGATGGCTATCTAGGATTACAGCTGAGTGTCCACTTGTTCAACTGTTCTCACAACAACTTCAGTCACAGAAGTGGAAACTGGCACTGGACTAATGGGGGCTTGTTTCTTTCATGACTTCATGGGATTTCTGAGCCACAATTTGTCCATAATTAAATTCCTTCCTCATACCAACAATTCTTGGATGGGCACATACATAAACTGTATGTAGGGGATTTTTGGTTATCTATTTTAAAAGTTAGAAAAGTTAGTATTGTGTATCATGAGCAAAACTTGCCAAATACAGTTATAAAGGGAGTTTTTCTATACCCACAATTTGAAACAGTCTTGACTGAAAAATTCTTGAATTTTTGTAGCTTTGTTTTAAGCTACATCAAATGTCAAAGGAATTTCATCCATATTTGCTTTTTATACATGGTCGAAACTAAATTCTTCCCTAACATTAGTCACACACCTGTGTAATCAGTGATCTTCTCTTTATGAGATGATATCTATGTGCTATTTTTCTGGCTCACATAGATAGTAGATTATTTCTCTTTGTTATCTGGAACTCTATGATGTTGATCCAGGAAAACCATTAATGCCTCTGTTGCTTTCCATTGGGTTTTTTTTTTAACTGAATATCGAGCATTCTGAGCTTTAAAAAATATGTAGTGTCATGTTTTAATTCCTTACAGTTATGACCTCTTTACAGGTTGGCAGATGAATATATGCCATTCATGCTTGCTCCATGCCTTTGTCCTGATATCTTATTCTTTCTAGAAGTGGAAAATGCTAAACATGAACTTAAGACTATAGTAATGACTGTCCATTTGCTTCATGGACTACAGTGGTAATAAATAAGAATCTAAAATGTTTGAGGAGTTACTTAAACTCTACCTTGAATTAGCAGCATATACCCTGTTGGTTGGTATACCAGCAACAGAATATATTTTTGGTCAAAACTATCAGGGCCAGTGTTAACTTGTATCTTTGTCGAGGTGGTTTTTTTTTTTTGCCATCTTTTACCACAATGGGCAGCATCATCACCTTCATTGTGTCCATTTTATTTTTAATATGGATGCATTGAGCCCAAGTAGTGAGGGAAAGATTTTAAAAGGAGTATATAAAAACTATCTATCTATCTATCTATCTATCTATCTATCTATCTATCTATCTATCTATCTATAATCTATCACCTAATAATGCTTATAGATATGATGGTGATGGTTAATGGGGGAGAGTGTGAAGGCATTTTCTGTAATTGAGAAATTTGTGTGCAAATATAAACCTCCTATAAGGAAAATAAACTCCTGTTTCTCCTTTGCTCCCCATACTCACAGTGGACACTCCTATGATCAGATGTTTGGGAGTTTTCCCACACCAAGCAATTCTCCAACTCTCTGCTGGATACCGACTGGGTATCTCACAATTTTACTCATTTCTAATACTATCTACCTGGAAATGGTATCAGATCCTTTAGTTAAGGACTGAGTTCTACAAGAATGCTGCCCCTCCCACTTCAGAGGCCAGACGCAAGTCCAGGTTCTCACCTGTGCTTCTGACCAATAGTCTATAAATCAGAGATTTCCCAAAATCCCCTGCTTGGGTTTGATCATTTGATAGAATATCTCAAAGTACTCAGGAAAATGGTTTACTAATTTATTATGAAAAGATATAACTCAGGAACAACCATATGGAAGGGAAGCATAGGGCAAGGCATGTGGGGACACTGAGTTGTATGCTCTCTGAGTGCACTACTCTCCCAGCACAGCACGTCCACTTGTTTACCAAACTGGAAGTATGGGGGCTTGCTTAAGGCAAACATAAGCCTTTTACTAAATAAGTTACATGCCTGGGGCCTGACTACCCATCATGACCTGTCCAGTAAGGAATTTGTGATTAGATCCCCCATGAGGTTGCTTTCTGTAGAACCCATTTTTCATCCACATGCCTAACTAGAGAGTGAAATAAGAATAAAAAACAATATTAAGTTTGATCTGGAGTGGAGAGTAAACCCCAGAGAGCCCTTAGCAGCCCTCCTACTACCAGCATCCATTACCATCACAACTGTATCCATGGCTGATACAGTCAGCTCTAGTCACCACCCTAATTACTGCAACCATGAACAATGGGTCTGAGACTCAGCAGCTGTCTGATACATTTCCTCAGCCCTGCCACCAATCGGTGTGATTCCATTGCCAGAGGTGGAGGCAGTGGCAGCCCACTGGTCATCACAATGAAGGTTTGGGGAATAGTAAAATGGTTCAGTGGCAGAAGCAGGTATGGTGTCATCCATAGGAATGACACCAAACAATATGCATCTGTACACCAGCCTGCCATAAAGAAGTGTTACCCCCAGGATACACCACTCCAGTATAGGAGGTAGAGAAACTATAGAATTTGATGTTATTGAAGGAGGAAAGCGTGCAAAGGCAGCAAATGTTGTAGGCCCTGGTGTATTTCCAGTGCCAGGCAGTAAATAAACAGCAGAATATAACCATTATAAACATTATCAAAGTTATGGAGGTCCTCTGTGTGTTTATCAGCAAAATTACTTGAATAAGAGAGTGGGGAAAAGAAGGAGAGATTGTAGAGAGTGCTCCTAAATGCCAGACCCAACTGCATGCACACCTTTCCCCATATGGAGACCGCGCTATGAGTATTGTTGAGAGTATTCCAATCCTGTGCAAGGAGAAATGATGGGGGTGCTAATGATCAGGATGAAGGAGAACAAATTAGACCAGGGAGAGAGATCACCTATTGGGATTACAGACCACAACTCAGAGCCCTTTCTCACGGAGGACATCAATGAAGAGGAACAGGAAAATCAAGAAGAGACGCAAGGTCAGCAGGTACCTCAACATAGGTGCCCCCAAAACTTCAGTTACCAACATAGACATCCCCAAACCCCTAAACCACAAGATGGCAAAGAGACCACATTTGGAAACTCAGCACCAAGGCTGAGCAGAAAGAGGATGAGTAAATGAGGACTTGCAATCTTTACCATCATTTGGGTTAGATGCACAACAAAAAGAAATGAATATGAAATTTCAGCAATAAGACCTGAACAAACTATTGGTGCTGAAGACCATGAGTGTTTGCTTTGTGCCCATCAAGCAGATAAATAGAACTATCTGCATTATGGGGTTTTTATTATTTTTCTTTAAAAACCCTTTTTGGTAATGACCAACTTTTTTTTTTTTTTTTTACAGACTGGTGTTTTTCATATACCTTTAAGGATTTGGAAATTGTTTCGTATCTAGTCAATTTGATGCTATTAAGAACCTGATTTTTAATTTGTAACAAAATTTTATAACTTGATTTTTTTTCCATGAAAGGCAGGAAACTGCAAGTATTTATTAATACAAGTCAATAATAATAATAATAATAATAAAGCAAAACAGAGTTTGGCTTAAAGAACTTAAACTTTTTCCTAGATATTATATATTATTTGTTCTTCGACAATGTCTTGTGAGTTCTTATATATCTTGGTGATAAGAAACAATTTTAGAACATATACACAGAATATAGTAAACATTATTCATTCTTTTTCTCATGTAACTTTCTCCTTCAATGGCAAAATGAGATAGGAAACATTTTACCCTTCTATCTTTTACTATTGCTAGCAAAGAATTGAATGTAGAGAAACAGGGAGAAGTGTAGAAACTGGTAGTGATTTATGTATTTTTCACATTTCATTCACTTTTCCTGGCAAGATCAACAGTGTAGAGCAGAATGACATGCTGAGGAAGGTGAGCTGGAACACTCAGTGGCTATTGTCCTGAGCATGTGTGACTTGTCCAGGACTCCTTCCTCACTCATGTAATTGAAAGCTTATACACAACTTTTTTTTGGGGGGGGAGGGGGTTCCTAATGGGAAAATCCTACTAAGAAGAAATGAGTCTTAAAGACTTGCAGATAATTATTTTAGTCCTGTCATAGCCACAGGCACAATAAGTTGGCTCCACAGTGACTGCAAAAATGTGCACTGTGGTGTTTAGTTCCCCAAGGGATGTAATTACTTTCTCCATGAGACCCAGTCCTTGAAATGAACTAAACAAAAGCATTTCTTTTTATCTTCTTCCTCTGGTATGTGGCAAAGCAAATTGCATTTGTTGCAACTAGAAATTCCCGAAACCCTGCTCCTTGTTGGCAGATGGCAGCAGGACTGGCTTCAGGGCTGCTGCTGGTGCAAATCAAAGAGCTCCAAGGTTCTGCCCTTGGCAGGAACAAAATTGTTTCTTATCATCCCATCTTCCTTCACTAAAAGCCTGAGAAACAAGATGTGATTAGTTGTTGAAAGTATTCAATGCCATAATAACCATGAAACATACTGTCCTTCCTTGTCTTCCTAATGGATGAGGGACTTAAAAGTGGACGAATACTTAACCCTTTAGAAGGAATGTGCAGTTGCTCCAAAGTATGCACCCTGTACCTGGGCTCTAAGATAACCTCTGAGTTTCTTAGTTGTTGCAAATCATCCATGCCTTTATGTCCATGCTCTCTCTGTCCTTCCACAGGCCTGATGTGTTTTTTTTTTTCCACTCTGTTTCAGGGCTCATCGTCGGGGTGATCCTGAGGTACAGCACCCCTGCCACCAGTGGCCATGACAAGTCACTCAGCTGCACTCAGGAAGACAGGGCCTTCAGCACATTATTAGTCAATGTCAGTGGGAAATTCTTTGAATACACCTTGAAAGGAGAAATCAGCCCTGGCAAGATCAACAGTGTAGAGCAGAATGACATGCTGAGGAAGGTGAGCTGGGACACTCAGTGGCTCTTGTCCTGATGTGGTTTTTGATTTCTTATTTGGTTTTGATCTTATGAAGAGAAATTATTTCAAACTCCTGGAGCATAGATAACATTTCTGCTCCTCAGTTTTGCTAGGAAGCTTTTGGGATATGATGCGGAGAAGGAACCAGATTTGAATTTGAACCTTTTAGCTTTGCTAGGAACAGTATCTGACTTGGGCCACTGATGGTGCAGTGGGTTTGTGCATCCCCACTGAGCTTGTTTCTCTAATCTCTGTCTTGTCTTTACTGTGTCTTTTGTGATGGGATGAGGTTATTTCTTTCTTAAGATTGGTTTCACTTTCAGATTGTTTATTCAGTGTCCAGAAGTATAATTCTTAGTTCTTCATGGGTTGTTTTTTTTTCCCCCTATTCTATAAATCTTTGTTGAGTGTCCCTTCTCATTGGTGATTGATAACAAAGGCCTATTCTTCAGAGGAAGGATGTCTTATTGTCTTGGAATGTGAGTCCAAATATTGGTTTTCATTTGATGTTGAAGGTAGCTAAAATACTCCACAGGAAAAAAGGATTATATGTCTCCTTACTTGGGTGATTTCCAGCATAAGCAAGAGATTCATATTTATCCTCATATATTCTATTACCTTATAGATCTGGTGTTATCAGCAGGAAGGCTTCTGGATAAAGTCTGAGGGATCCAAGTTGTGGGATCCCCTTTTAATATGGAACAAAATTAATGTGTGTAAAGACTTGCAGTCAAAGATATAATGTAGCCCTTGCCCCCAAAATTAAATTATTATTGATATTAATGTCTATTGTAATCCTTAAAGAAATTATTCTCAACCTGGAGTATTCAACATGCCTACATTCTCCATGTCCTGAATGGCAGTTCTAGTCAGCTCTTTGTTTTCAACCCTTCATAAGCATGCATGGGATGGCGTGGGTGTCAGGAAATTCTTGTGCTGCTTTATACATTACTGGGTTAGGTGACTTCCAGCAAATCTCACTCTCTTTGCCCCCAGTGTCTTCATATGTATAGGTATTGTCCAAATTCCCTTCTCATTCTGAGAGTCCCTGCTTTTTAGACTACTCTTATCTTCAGCAAGAAGATAGAATAAAGCATAATTTGGAGAGAACCTTTCTACTTTTAATTAGACTAGTTAACATTTCGAGGTTCTAAAGAAAAATGCTAACTTTACTCTTAATAATCAGAATGAAGATTTAAAGTAATTAATTGAAATAAGAGCCAATTAATCTACTAACATGAACAAATTCTTTTAAAAGGTTAGGAGGTTTATAGAATGGTTGTGTTTTCTGGATATGATAAGACTTTGCTGTCTAATAGTTTCACAATCATTTCCCTGTATTAAAACTACAGGTGATTTTAGTCCCCTTAGAGATGCTGAATTTACTTTGGTGTTTAGGAAGCCATTATCACAAAAGGTTGGCTACTAAAAAGAGACTTAAATTTGGTAGAATTATGTCTATAAATGATTCTGTGGGAATATCTAGAAAATTAATAAAGAATTATGACTGCATCTTTCATTGCAGCTGAGCCTTCAAAAAGGTTTGATAAAAAATCAAGATGTTTTTATTTCTTGTTTAAAAACATTGGCCAGAAACTTCCTATGAGTTCTCAAAATTGCATTGCACTGTTGCGTCTTAATACGGATTAAACGGCACACCGAAAGCAGAACTGAGAAGTGCTCTGTGGAAAAGAACTTGTCATTCCACAGGGGAGCTGTGACTTCTCTTTGTGATGAGCTCATGATTTTTCACATTTATATTATGTCCATTAAATATTCCATCTTTAGCTAATGGCTTAAAATATTAAGCAAATATTATAGCACCAATTGGTATTAAACTAAAAATGGGCTTTTTTTTTTCCCTTTTAAATTTTTAGGTAACGTTTGATCCAGAGGTCTTTTTCAACATTCTGCTGCCTCCAATTATTTTCCATGCTGGGTACAGTTTAAAGAAGGTAAGAAAGTCTTGCCAATATTTCTTTTTCTTCAAGCTTAAAAATAATCCTAAATTATCCACAGATAATAACCATATAATGACATTCTTGGGGTGAATTACCATAAAACAAAAACTTTGTATAGTTGAAAAAGAGCTGAGGGAGGGAAGGAGGGAGGGGGCAAGGGAAAGTGGTGGGGGGGTAGGCAGAGACAAATGTATTTGAAAAAATAAATTAAAATAAAATTAAAAAAAATAAAAAATTAAAAATACTAAAAAAAAGAAAAGAAATATAAGCATATTCCAAAATAAAGTCTGAGGGATCCAAGATAGTACTCATAATAGTGCTCATGACAGTACGTGTGTGTGGTATATACAGGTAATGCCATAACTGGGTCTAACTTTACCAATAACCCTATGGAAACAATGGAATGAGTTCCCATGGCAAACAGATTTCTTGCTGGTTGACCTTATAATAGTGTTATTGCTTGGTTTAAAGTTTTATTTTCTCTTGAGATGAAGAAAGGGTTTAAATTAGGTGAGCAGTATGACTTTTTAACTAGTATTTCTTAAAGCATAGGAATCTCTGTGTTAATTTACCTGCATAATTTTCTAATTTTTTCCATGTCCAAGATTGCTTATTACAGTGTTCTGTACAGACTATAGTTGACTCATAATCATAATTCATTTATGTTTTAAAATCTGGAACTCTCTACATTGCCAGTGAGAATATAAGATGGCACAGCCACTCTGAAAATCTCAGTTTCTTTTTTTTAATAAATAAATAAAATTTATTTCTAAAAATAATTCTTTTTTTATTGTTCAAATACGTTTGTCTCGATTTTCCCGCCACTACTTTCCCCTGCCCCACCTATCCCCACCTCCCACCCTCAAACCTTCCCCACTTTGGCTTTGTCCATAGGTTCTTTATACATGTTCCTTGATTTGACCCGTCCCCTTCTTTTCCCCATTACCCCTCTCCCTCCGCCCCCCTCGTTGCAGTCGGTTTGTTTTTTCTTTCAATGTTGCTGGTTATATTTTTCTTGCTTGTTTGTTTTGTTGATTAGGTTCCACTTATAGGTGAGATCGTATGGTATTTGTCTTTCACCCCGTGGCTCATTTCCCTTAGCATAATGCTCTCCAGTTCCATCCATGCTGTCACAAAGGGTAGTAGCTCTTTCTTTCTGCTGTGTAGTATTCTGTTGTGTAAATGTACCATAGTTTTTTGACCCACTCATTTATTGATGGGCACTTAGGTTGCTTCTAGCATTTGGCTATTGTAAATTGTGCTGCTATGAACATTGGGGTGCATAGGTTCTTTTGAATTGGTGTTTTGGGATTCTCAGTTTCTTATAAAACTGAAGTTGAAATTCCCATGTGACCCAGCAATCTTATTCCTGAGTATTTATCCCAGAGAAATGAAAACTTAGGTTTACCCCAAAGCTTGTACATGATTGTTCATAGCAACTTTATTTGTAAAAGCCCCAAACTGGAAACAACTAAAATGTCTTATGATAGGGGAATGGCTAAATGAACATCCATACCATAAAATACTACTCACTAATAAAGTGCAACAAACTATTGATATACACAACAGTCTGGATGGATCTCAAAGACATTATGCTAAGTGAAAAAGTCCAATCACAAAAAATCACATGCTGTATTATATAATTTATATAAAATTATAGGGATAGAGAACAGATTAGTGGTTTCCAGAGATTAGGTATGTGGGAGTAAGAGGGGGATGACTATGACTGTAAACAGGTAGCACAAGGGAGATTTTTTGTGTTGATAGAACTGTTCTGTATCTTTTTTTTTATCCTCACCCAAGGGTATGCTCATTGATTCTAGAGAGGGAGGAGGGAGGGAAAGAGAGATGGAGAGAAACATCAGTGTAAGAGAGAAACATCAATTGGTTGTCTCTTGCATGCACCCTGACCGGGAATTGAACCCATGACCTTTTAGTTTATGGGACAATGCTCTAACCAACTGAGTCACACTGGCCAAAGCAAACTGTTCTATATCTTTATTGCAGTGGTGCTTACATGAATCTACACATGCAAAAAAAGGACATATACACACACATTGTACCAGTGTCATCTTCCTGGTTTTGATGTTGTACTACAGAGATAACCAGTGGAGAAAACTGAGTGAAGGTACAGGGAACCTCTCTATACTAGCTTTACAACATCTGTCAATCTATAAGAACTCAAAATTAAAAGTTTTAAGAAATTTATCCTGATTATTGAGGGTCATTGTGCCCAGCATCAAGGTGGGGCCTAAGCCCCTAATTTTTTAAAATACTAAATACCTTCTCAAATAGCGTTGGTGGCTCCCTTTCTCCCCCATTGTAGGGGGTATTCTGTGAAAATATAGTCTCCTAAAGCGAGGAACTTGTTTCAGTTGTCTTTCTGAATAGGGACTAAAGGAATTTTTTAAAACTTTTTTATTGTTCAAATACACTTGTCTCCACCTTCCCACCACCACTTTCCCCCAAAGGATTTCCAGGGAATCTTTTTCAGCGAACCTAAAGAAGGGAGATTTTGGCTGCCAGTAAAACTCAATAACACCCTTATGAACTATAGTGTCTTTTAAATTGATAAACCTCTAGATATATCAATCCAGAAAAAAACAAATTACCTATATCAGGAATGAAAGTGGGGACATCACTATAGGCCCTTTAGACATTAAAAGGACAGTAGCGGAAGACTGCAAACAACTTTGTAGAATTAAATTTGACAACCCAGGTGAAATGGACAGATTCCTCGAATGATACAAATTACCAAAACTGACTGAGATGGAAAACTTGAACAGCCCTATATTAATTAAAGAAATGGAAGTCATAATTTAAAACCCTTCCACACACCCAGATGGCTTCACTGGTGAATTTTATCTAGCAATTAAGGAAGAAATAATACTAGTTTTATACAAACTCTTTCAAAAGATAGAGGAGAGAATACTTCCAACTCATTTTATAAGAGTATGCCTGCCCATTAGGCTGGTTCTTTTGTCACAGCAACTCAGGAGTTGTCAGAGGATTTTTTAACTATTTCCAACCAACATAAATATAGTTATACTTTATGGAGCATCTGACACAAACTCTATTAAGAATGTGAGGGTAGTAGATTAGCTTCCACCCCTTCTCCCTCAGGTTTCCAACTCATTGATAAATAGACACAAGAAGCTAACTGGCAATTGAATGATCCATTTATGATCCAAAGTCTCTGGTAATGCATATCGGATGATGGAATTTAGTCCTTAGTTTTGGGGGTCCTTGCTACACATCATGAATTGAAGGCAGATGCCCTTAGGCTGCCAGGTCAGTCACAGTGACAGGTAGAGAAGCTGAAATGGAGAGATCCTAGAAATTGCTGGGCCCACTGAAGGCTGCCTCTTTTTCTAACAGAATGGAGTCTAGAAGAGCAAGAACAATTTCCCAGCTTGCACAAGAGGTTCAAGACTGTAAGTCAGGGTCAATCCAGTCTCTCCCTTCAGAGATCAAATGATTTTTCCTTACTGTATGACCTTTGGGGGAGGGGGATGAAACATAAGTCCCCTCTCCATGATGGATGCTTGAGGAGCAGGAGGCTGCATTTCTGCACACAAGCCCAGCACACGTTTTGCACTTCCAGACATGTAAAGAGTGTCTTGAATTTTACTGAAAATCAACCTAAACTCAGAATTATTAAGTGACATCTATGAGGTTTAGCCTGTTTGTCTGATGTCAGGGTCCAGGGTGTTCATCTGTGTTATACTCCCTCTGGATTTATGTTTTCTGTACAAAAAAATTGATTTTTTTTCTGACTAATCTATTGGGTTGCCAAAGTCATCTGAATCTATATGTCTATTGACAGATAACAGATACGAGATGATTTTTATGGATATGAATAATGTTATTCTTTATCTAAATGAAGAATTTGGGAAATCCTCTTAAGATCAAATGAGTGGACTTCTGGTCAAGGTGGAGGCATAGGTAAATGTGGCCTGCCTCCACACACAATCACAGAAAATATTACAACTAGACTACAAAGCAAATATCACCCAAAATCATCAGAAATATGAGCTGTATGGAAGTCTGACAACCAAGGAATTAAAGAAGCCACATTCATCCAGATAGGCAGGAGGGGCAGAGACATGGAGATGTGCGGAGAGGTACCAAACCATGGAGACATGGAATGGTTGGCCCCACACTCACATGTGGTGGATAAAAATTGAGAGGTATATCTTGGGAGTGAGGGATCCCAGCTCCACACCAGGTCGCCCAGCCCAGGGTTCCACCTCCAGGAAGATAAGTTCCCATATCTTTTGGCTGTAAAAACCAGTAGGAGTTGGGGCAGCAGAAGAAGCTGCTGAATTCTCAGGAGTCTCCACTTAAAGGGCCCATAACAGACTTAGGACTTACGCAGACTCACTCCCTCTGGGCTACAGCACCAGGGCAGCAACTGGAAGGGCATCGGTGAAATTGAAGTTTCTGGCACCAGGTCACATGCCAGGGGACAGCTTCCTCTCAGACAAAACTCCAGAGGCCAGGAAGTGGCATTGTCCCCTTTCGGAGCCCTCCCCCACACAGAACCACAGAGCTGCGACACCATATCTGAGACTCCATCAACCTGGTTCACAAGAGTTGCCCTGCCCTGGTGATGACCTAAGGCTCCACCCCACCCACCTTACCAGTGCACTTTTCTACAATAGGCCTCACTATTAACACAGGGAATCAAAGCAGTTCTACCTAATACGTAGAAACAAACACAAGAAGGCTGCCAAAAAATATGGCCCAAGTGAAAGAACAGAACAAAACTCCAGAAAAAGAACTAAATAAAATGAAGGTAAGCAATCTATCAGATGCAGAGTTCAAAATACTGGTTATTAGGATGTTCAAGGAACTCATTGGATACTTCAGCAGCATAAAAAAGACCCAGGCAGAAATAAAGTTTACACTAAGTGAAATAAAGAAATATTTACAGGGATCCAACAGTGGAGGGGATGAAACCAAAAATCAAATCAACGATTTGGAACACAAGG